TAATGAACAACAAGGATCACAAGCAGGAGAATCAAATTAAAATACTTTTTTTTTCCACGGATTAAATAATCGATACTTTGTCCTTTAGCCCCAGAATTTAATTAACTCTTTTTTTTCTTCTCAAGCAGTGTCCGCAGGTTCCGACATGACACATCATCAAGGTAAGATAAAATAGTTTAAGCCTCTTTTATTCTTTCTCTGTTTTTCTGCCATTATTCTTCAACCTCATCATCAGCCTCTGTGACTGGTCGTTTCAAAAGGATTTCTCAGGGTATCAAGTTGTAGTGTAAAAAGATCTAATGTAATGAAATACTTCGACTTCTGCAACCAGTGACCGGCTTTTTTTTTTATGTGCCTGCAAGATCATGGCCCTTCACTGCTTCCTGCTCTTTGTAGCCAGAAACAACATTTGTACCCATACATTCCATCCAAGTCTCCATCGATTTGCACATTGTTAGGTCAATTACAAAATCTTTCTCTATTGTCTACAATATGACCTGTGACTGTCAAATTCTCTGAACTGCCTTTTCTCACTGTGCGTTCCAGAATTTTTTTTAACTCATTCTGATTCTTTCGTTCCTATTTTCCTTAAAACATTCTTGTTGTTCAAACACTCCCTACATGGTCTTCTCAGTATCCATTTGGAGAATGACATCGCTGTTTCTTTGAGTCATCTTCATCTACAGGGTGTCCCCAAAAAATGATATTCACTTTTTGACTTCCAATAACAACTTTTTTTTTTCCTTTTTTCAAATCCAATGCTCCTTAATAATGTTAGGAGTACAACTAAGTTTTGAAGAAATACAATTTGTCAAAGTGTTACTGGAAGCACAAAAACATCAAAGAGGTGCAAAGACAGTTTAAAAGACAATTCCACAGAGATCTGCCAATGGGATACACCACTGCTCGCATCACAGATAGGTTTGAATCAAATGGAACTATTCATGATGTTCATAAGAAACATTCAGGAACATGACTGCCATCTACCAGCCTTGCAAAAGAAGAAGAATTGCTAAAAACCTTCCTACTATCTCCAATGAAATCTGTACGAAAAATGGTGCTCGTCCGTTTGAATATTTATAAACATACCTTTAATTTTATTAAATATTTTAATTTAAACAACGATTAATCTTCTTCGTAAGTTAATAAACATTACTATCTGTTAATTTTAATCATTCATCTTGTAATCTTGCAAGTCAAGAAACATTACATTTATTGTTATTTAAAGAGTGAGTTGCCTTTGTTGTCATATTCACGATGTTTCGGCTGTTGTACACTCTGGCCTTCTTCAGGTTATATATGTTGGAATTTCAAACCAAACCCTTTATTTAGTTCACTGGGGTAGACTGTTCTAGTTCTGTGTGCTATGGCTTGTACCCGAGGACACATGCCCCAGTGGATAAAAGTGTTAGTTGAAATAATCCAAAAAGTGACTTGACCCAAAGAGTTGGGAGTTCAATACCTGACCACAGCAGAGATGAACAAAAAATTGGAGGGTTGAGTTACTAAAGGGAAATAACTGAAACTCAGATATCTAGAAAATGCATGGCAATCTACTACATAGGTTGAGTTCCTAATTCCAATGGATATCACTGGAAAAATGCTGGAGTGTACAACAGCCAAAACATCATGAATATGATAATAAAGATAAGGATAACAGTCTGAACAATGTAAATAGTTACAATACTCCATCTCAGAATTATAGACAGATACATTTAATTTAATTTAATATTTAATTTTAACTGCTCATCTTCTTTTTAAGTCAATAAACAATGCATTTATTGTCATTTAAAGAGTGAGTACATTTTTGGGACACCCTTTTAAATATGTAAAACATTTAAACTCCCCACCCTCTCTCTCTATATATATATAATATATATATATATATATATATATATATATATATATATAGTGTAACCTGGATATAAGAGAGATTTTCTCTGGTCCCAAATTAGAGCCTGTGTTAATAAACAAAATAGACCAAACCCGGATATAAGAGACTTCTTCTCCAGTCCCGACAACTCTGTTATATCCAGGTTACACTGTGTGTGTGTGTGTGTGTGTGTGTGTGTGTATATATATATATGTATAATAGAAATGATTATGTTTGCCATCCTCAGAACAATTACCATGAACATATTTATAGAAGATGCATCAGTCCATTCATAATAGTAAGGAGAGTAACTGGCTCCTACCACAACAGGACTGACAACATTACAGATACTTTTGTCAAGAATCTTTAAAGGAATAGCAGAAACACCAGATGTGCTAGCAACATCCGATGAACAGACAAGTAGATAATAGCTTGGAGATTGATAATCAGATAATTGAGTTTTCAATTCCAGTCAGGTTCATTATATTTACTTATACTTAAAACTCTTGAGAAAGGCATGAATCCACCTCTTCTTCCCCCAACTATGGGTTAATTAGTAAGATTTGTATCACTTAAGCCATTATTATCTCCAAAAGAATAAAATAAAATTACATGCAAAATATTTATATTTTGGCATTAAATAACCAAAACAGATTGATATGCAACTAAAGAAAAACAACCAACATTAGTAAATTTATTTCAGAACATTTCCAAGGCTTACCTTCATCTGGCAGTAGTGGAGGACCATATTCTGTATATTAGATATGGTCTACTCAGTGAGGGTCAAATTCACAATATTAGTTGAACAAGACTAGGTCATTGACATTAACCCCTACAAAGTTAACTATCCTGAAAAAGACACCCACAACCCCTGGAAAAGATGATGAAAGACCAGAGGAGGTATCACGTCCCTCAGCCTCTGCCCCAAATTCCTCATCACGCAAGGAAAAATCTTCCCATGTGACTAGATTGCCAGATATTAGTCTATGGCAGGTATTTTGTGAGGAATAGCTTTGAATTGGATTCATCTTCTTCTGTGTGCTGTGTGTGTATAGGACATGGGTGATAATGGCTCTCCACAATATTCTGGCCTTTGTAGCTCTAAGTAAATTTTGTCTTTCCACTATTTCTTCTAATCCTTGTTCTGCCAACCATTTATACAAGAGTCTATGGCAAGTATTTTGTGAGGAATAGCCAACCATTTATACAAGATTGTTAGGTTGTTCACCGTTTTCCTCGGACTCTGGTAGACTGAAATATGTGCAAGATAGATTCTGGCAAGAAAAATTGTCTAACACGACCCAAAGAACCAACTTTCCTAGCAGCAGACTTAGTAATTGGTTCAATGTGATCATTCCCCTCTATATTAGTGGAAAATACAGCATCAAGGAGATGCAGAGAGTTGCTCAAGTGGACATTAGCATTAGCCATAGAAGGCAAAAAAGATTCTTTAAGAGCAGTTTTGTTTTTGGAAGTCTTAAAATTAACAAGGCACTTCTTTTTTCCTAGCTTGGCTTTCAAGTGATTGGTTGATTGTTCACTTGGTACTAACCATTTTCGGAATGATAGGGTGGCTGAAACCATATCATTTGTCAATAAATCTATCTATAATTACAGCAGGGTAATGTGCATCCAGTCCATAGAGACTGCACAAGGCAGGTAGTAATTGAAACTAAATTACTGCCAAAGTGGCTGAAAAGTGGAGAAAACCTTAAAATCATTTTAGATTCAAATGACTTGGGCCGCTTTAAAGGATGCTGACAGATTGCAATGATACGTTTCAGTGTTGAGACCAAAGAGCTGAAGGCAATTTTCAAAAGAGAGCCGTTCGTATTTAAACACACTTTTATTCACTTTGGAGTGACATACCCATTCATACTTTATCTAGGTGTGTACCATGAGTGTCAATAATCGAATTTCAATTCCCTTTTCAACATTAATAAAAGGCTTACAACCACAATATGTCTATATTTCTGAGATGAGGTATTGTAATTAATGACATATGGCCAAGAAGATAAAAGCATTGGTTGGATCCAGTGACTTGATCCAAAGTGTTCTGAGTTCAATACATGGCTACTGCAGTTAGAACAAAAAAAATTGGAGAGTTGAGTTAAAGGGAGAAAACTGAGATATCCTGAAGTGGAACTGGAACGATCTACCCTGGTGGATGAAAAAAGGGTTCAGATTGAAATTCCAATCACCAAAAGAAGGTTAAAGCATACAATGGCCAAAGCATTATGAATATGACAATAAAGATGAGGTCAACAGTCTGAACAAATGTAAATAATGTAAATAATATTTCCTGGTTTTAAATAACCTGCCAAAGAGTTGATAAGTTATAGAAAATGAGTCAACTGATTAATCAAACAAGGTGTTTCATATAGAAATCATATTAAGATGAGCAATTGAAAGGAATTTTTTGTTAGTCTTCCTTTTGGAATTTTTCAGACGGGAACCAACATCATCACCCACTTTCCAATAACAGTATTGATTCTGTCTATATTTCTAAGATGAGGTATTATGTACACTATTTACATTATTCAGACGATTGTCCTCATCTTTGTCGCCATATTTATTACAACGTTTTGGCTGCTGTACGCTCCGGCCTTCTTCAGTATCTGTCTATGTTTCTGAGATGAGATGTACACTATTCATATTATTGGAACTACTGTCCTAATCTTTGTCACGATGTTTATTACAATGTTTTGGCCGTTGTACGCTCCGGCCTTCTTCAGGTGGTTGGAATGTTGAACTGAACCCTTTATTTTGCTCACTGGGGTAGACTGTTCTAGTTCCACGTGCCATGTTTAATGGATGTCAGTTATCAGTTATCTCCTGTTAATTCCCCTCTCCAAGTTCTCCACTGCCTTAACCGGGTATTGAAGTCACACTCTTTGGCTCCTGTCACTGGATCTAACCAACACCTTATCCACTGTGCCATGTGTCCTTGAGGACACATGACATAGTGGATAAAGGCATGTAGTGGGGAATTAACGGGAAATAACCGATCACTGACATCCAATGGCCGAAACATTGTAATAAATATGGCAACAAAGATGAGGACAATAGTCCGAATAATGTAAATAGTGAAAAATATTGACGTTGCTCAAACTGATTAATTCATGCTTACAGCCATATCACATTGAAACACTGGTTCCTATATGACCACCAAAGTTAAGCAATATTGAGTCTGGTCAGTACATAGATGGGTGACTGCTTGTGAATACCAGGTCCTATAAGCTTGGATGTGCAGGTGGTGTAATGGATAATGGCTTGGAAATTGAGAATCAGAGAGTCAAGTTCCAATTTCAGTTTGGTTCATTATATTCACTTATGCATGAAAAAGCCTTTGGAAAGTATAAATCCCACTCTTCTCCCCCAGCTATGGGTTAATTAGTAATACTTGTATCACTTAAACCATTATTATCTCCAAAAGAAATAAAATAAAACAGCATGCAAAACATTTAAATTTTGCATTAAATAGCTGATAGAGATTGGTATGCCACTGAACAAACACCACCAACATTAGTAAAATTATTTCAGAACATTTCCAAGGCTTACCTTCATCTGACAGTAGCGGAGGACCATATTCTGTATATTAGATATAGTCTACTCAAAAAGGGTCAAATTCGTAATATTAGTTGAACAAGACTAGATTGTCAGGCATTAGTCTATGGCGGGTATTTTGCAGTGAATAGCTTTCAATTGGATTCTCTTTCTTTCATGTGCCGTGTCTGTTCAGGACGTGACCAATAATGGCTCTCCACAATTTCCTGTCTATTGTTGCTCTTAGAAAATTTTGTCTTCCCGCTATCTTTCCAATTCCCTGTTCTGACAACTATTTACACAAACTTTTATGTTATTCGCTGCTTTCCTCTGCCTCTCTTGATTTCAATATGTCCTGTTCCCAGGTTCACCTTGACCCAGTGTGGCAGCTCCTGTTAGGGTCCCAAGCTGTGAACCCCCAAACAAAAATCAGCTGTACATTTTTTATAATAGAATGACCAAAGATACATATCTATAGCAAAATGACAAAAAAAAAAAATGCAACACAAAAAGTACCTTTTTATAGTAAAATTACCAACAATACATTTTAAGATCTAGATACCAAAAAAGGATACCTTTACTCTGAAAGTATGATATTATATACAAAATATCTATAGTTGAAAGCATAAAAATTACATACAAAATATTGGTATTAAATAACCCACAGAGATTGATATGCTACTAAAAACAAACTCAACCAGCAATAACTATACAATTGGCAAAGAACAGTCTATGAAAAAACAAATACCAGAATACAAATGGAAGAGTCACAGACAACCCTGAAAAAGCCAGAGGTCTCCATCCCCTAAACATTCTTACTCTACCATGTGTCGGCTGTGGACATCTCTTAAGATCCAGCATAGGACTCATTTCACACAGAAGGAAATGTCAATGAACACACCAATACTTGGCAAAGAGTTCCACCAATGGTGAATGACCAACATTTAAAGCCGAGAGACCAACAATACATTTTGTCTGTGGTTGAGACGCACACGATTGTGTTCAAAATAGATGTACTTGAAACCATAAAATTGATTTTGAAATATTTATATTTTGGCATTAAATAGCCCATAGAATTTTTTGATATGGCACTAAACAAAATCAACCAACATGAAAATAATCTTTCATGATATTAATCCAGATACTATCCTACAATTTCTTAAAGAAATCAAACAGTATTCCAAAATATAACTACATTATAAAACATACATCACCACCTCTAGTAATTATGTCTGCACAAACATGTATATGCACAAAAGCTGAGTATCATCTACCATGTATTCAACTGTGAAAGCAGAATAACATGTATCAAATTTTTATTACTTCTGCTCTCCCAAGAAAATTAAATTTCAGCATTAACCCTTTCAAGTTCACATTTACATAATTGATGTATACGGCAAAAAAATATTAAATGACTCTGACTTAGAAAAATAGTATTATTAAATGCATTATTATATATTATATATATAACAATGTGACACTATATCTGCTTTATTTCATATCATTGTCCCAGGAGACTCAAAAATTATTTATATATATGTTAAATGATATATATATATATATATATAAGATATATATATATATATATATCATTAAACAAAACAAATATATATATATTTTTATATATATATATATATATATATATATATATATAATATATATATATATATATATATATATATATATATATATATATATATATATATATATATATATATATATATATATATATATATATATATATATATATATTATATATATATATATATATATTATATATACATATATATATATATATATATATATATATATATATATTGTATATATATATATATATATATATATGATATATGATGGAGTTAAAAAAAGTTGGTTTGGCAGCTCTCCGCTAAAATGCGCAAAAATTTTGGTGCAAATCTTCTTGTTGATATGCATTAAAAGTAAAATATAAAATAAAATAGAATGATGACATTTAGTAGAATTCTTGGTTTTTGTTTTTAACAATTTTTAAATTTGAAAATGAATAATATAATCAAATGTAAGTATATATTATTAAGAAGAAATATGGCAATTGAATGCCATCAATTTTATTTTGTTCATATTTTGCATTAAAAGGTGAGTTCACAAAGAAATGTACACATGGCTCTTGTGTAGATATTATCATACTAAATTTATTGAGACATCCAAGATTAATCAAACTTTTAATAATGATTCTTTTCCATAGAGGTTGATATGCCTTCATTCAACTTCAAACCTGATCTCCATAAACAACAAATGAAATGTTTTAATGGATTTTGAAATTTTTTTTTTATATTTTTCATTTTTACCTGTTTGTTAACCTATTGACACAGGTAGAAAAGAATCTACTTATCTGACATCTATTTATAATTAAATAATGACAATAGAAATATTAGCTTTTCTCTCACTTATTGGTTACTGTGGTATGTAATTTCATTAGCAGCAGAAATTCTTCTTCTTTGTTTCCCAAAACATTTTTTTATCAACTTTTTTTCAGGCATCGAATCTTATGCAGGCTTTCTCTTACTTATTGTTTATATTAACATTGTCATTTCCATTTAATCCTTTATTTGAAAGAATTCTGCTTTCTTATTTTAAAAGTAAAAATATACATTGAATAAATGTGCAGTTTATTTAAAGACGTGGTTGAATATATGTTTCAATATTTTATATTCTTGTAGCAAAATTTTGTCTTTTGATATCTCTCCTAGTCCCTGTTCTGCCAACTCTTTTTGTTTTCTTCTATGTTTATCTTTCAAATTATCGACAATAACAGCTCTCTACAATTTCCTGTCCTTTTATAGCTCTTAGTAAATTTTTTCTTTTTTTTTATTCCCTGTTCTACCAACCGTTTACACAAGCTCCTTTTCTGTGTCCTCCAGGAGGTTGGCGATCATGGCTCTCCACAGTTTCCTGTCCTTTGTAGCTCTTAGTAAATTTCATCTTTTTTTTTCTCTTAAACCCTGTTCTACCAACCATTTACACATCTCCTTCTTCTTCTTCTATATGCTGTGTTCCTCCAGGATGTTGGTGATCACGGCTCTCCACAATTTCCTGTCCTTTGTAGGTCTTAGCAAATTTTGTCTTTTTGCTCTCTCTTAAACCCTGTTCAACCAACTGTTTACACAAGCTCGTTTTTCATCTATATGACGTGTTCCTCCAGGATGATGGTGATCACGGCTCTCCACAATTTCCTGTCCTTTGTAGCTCTTAGTAAATTTTGTCTTTTCACTCTCTTAAACCCTGTTCTACCAACCATTTACACACGCTCCTTCTCCTTCTTCTATATGCTGTGTCCCTCCAGGAGGTTGGCAATCACGGCTCTCCACAATTTCCTGTCCTTTGTAGCTCTTAGTAAATATTGTCTTTTTACTATCTCTCTCTCTCTCTCTCTTAAACCCTGTTCAACCAACTGTTTACACAAGCTCGTTTTTCTTCTATATGACGTGTTCCTTTAGGATGTTGGTGATCACAGCTCTCCACAATTTCCTGTCTTTTGTAGCTCTTAGTAAATATTGTCTTTTTGCTATCTCTCCTAATCCCTGTTCTGCCAACCATTTACAAAAGCTCATTAGGTAGGTTATTTGCTACTGTGCACCATCCCTCTTGTTGTGAGTGTTAAATTTTCTCAGCCCTCTATATTCCCAAAAAATTTCAACTCTTTCTGATTCTAAGTATGAGTGTCCTTTTTTTCTATTTTCCTTAAAACTTTGCCACTCACGTGTTCTGTCTCTGATAATCTCAGCAGCCTTCTGTAGAACTATGTTTCTACTGCTTCAAGACAATCTGTGAAGCATTGACTACAGTCAGAAAAATCGTTATCCATAAAGAATACCTTAATTTAGGCACAATGATCTCAGTTTAGGGCACTTAGTCAGGTTCAAAATCACCTCTGAATTGTCAAGATCTATGGGATGAACTCATTAACCATTACATCCCAGAAAAAGAAAAGAAATCTAAGTAAAAAAAAAAAATTAATAACAGTAATTACAGATGTTTTCACCTCTTCTTGATCAAGTGACCCTGTTTGTTTCAAAATAATTTGCTCCCCCCAAACACAGGCTAATAAAATCAAATTGTTCAAATTGTTATAAAAGTCGAGATTGTGAATTAAGTTTTCAAACTGACTGCAACAAGAGCTTTCTTTCTCTTTGCTTTGCTTCTTTTGTAGTTGCGTTAAAATTAGCATTAAAATTTTTTTTGCCTTTTAATTTAATGAAAATTTAACCATGGCAGATGTTTTAATCTTTGAAGTTTTTTTTTTCCCTTTTAATCTTAACTTGAACTTTTAACATTCTTAAAGCGTTCACCCTACCCAGCCAACCCTGACCGACAGCTGAAATATCCAATATTTGCCACTGTTTCAAACATCATTTTAATGTTAACCAACCAATTACACTGCCCCTGGGATCTAACTTCCTGGACCCACAATTCATAGTCAATTTCTTCGACGACATTCTTCCTCACACCATCCAAGCTCCAACATCTTTAACACTCAGAGCAAAATTGAAAACTTAATCTAATCATTACGCGAGCAAATTTTGTTGGTTGAAATCAGATAACTGCAAAAAAAAAAATAAAAATAAATAGTAATAGTAATTATAATTCAAGAAATTAAAATTAACAGCACAAATACAAAATAGACAAAAAAATAGACTTTTAAAATAG